CGAGTATCGCTGCTTCTACTTACGCTGGGGCGTCCAGGCAATGGCGGTCAGAGAGTTTGTAGGAGCCATGGCGCGTCGACTTGAATGTGTGTTGGCCGTGCTGCTGCTTCTGTCGAGCGGCGGCAGTTGGCCGGGCGGCGGTCAGCTGGGGAGCCCATCTCGCGGCGTCACGGTGGACGCAAGCGCCACCATCAAGCCAGCGCAAGGTTGGCACCGCTGTGCTGCGATAGTACTAGTAAAATGCGGCGGTACCACGAAATTTTTGTGGCATGCCGCCTGCAGAGTAGTACTAGCACTTAAAAAAAACGATTGCTGACTGTAACGGGTGTACCGTTGCTCGTGGCCGTGACCGAGAGCCGGAGTCAGGTAGGCAACACCATTGTCGATTTAGTCGGGGAGGAGGGAGGGGGGTGTGGGAGGGAGAGCGAGGCGGAGGGAAGTAGTAAAGGGGGTAAGGTCGAGGAGTTGGTTACGTGACTAAGACTGCAGGGAGTTCGTCCATGCGTAGTACTCCATACTACATAGTACTACTAGTGGTTGATCCATACGAGTATCGCTTCGCAGCTACGTGGGGCGTCCAGGCAATGGCGGTAAGAGAGTTTGTAGGAGCCATGGCGGCGCGACTTGCCTGTGTGATGGCCGTGCTGCTGCTTCTGTCGAGCGGCGGCACTTGGCCGGGCGGAAGTCAGCTGAGGAGCCAATCTTGCGGCGGCGTCACGGTGCACGCAAGCGCCACCATGAAGCCAGCGCATGGTTAAGCACCGCTGTGCTTCGATAGTACTTGAAAACGCTGCACCATGAACCCATTGACACGCAGCGGCGATGATCCTCTAGATAATCCAACCCCCCAAAAAGTCACCACAAACTCACCTCGAGCCTCGAGGTACCTCAAGGTTGCCAATCACGTCTGCAATGATACAAGTAGTAGAATGCTTGACCGCAGGCTCTCCCCGTCCAAGCAACTCATCCAAGTGTGGTAGTTGTTAACTTCCGCGGATTTTTCTTTTTCCCCACTGCCCTGCCACCCGGCGACGACATGCAGCGTCAGCGCTGGTAGCCATCAAGTCCGCGCTGGGCCTGACGTTCACCAAGTGGTCGTCGTATAGCTCCCCATTCTGCGTCGTCCCTCCCGACACGATCGATAGTACTTCTGATTGGGACAACATCGTTTGCTCCAGTGACGGGGACGTGACTGCAATGTGAGGCGGGTGTCTGATTGCTATCATGATTCCTGTTTGCTAACGTCTTCTTGGCTAGCCCTTGCCTTTATTCGTGTGAGATAACCGTAGCCTGACCTGTGTGTGAGTGTGTGGGTCTGTGTCTCTGTGTGTGTGTGTGTGTGTGTGTGTGTGTGTGTGTGTGTGTGTGTGCACGCGCGTTATGTGTGTGTGCATCTGTTGGAGGGGTGGGGGGAGGCGGGGATTTGTGGGCGTGCGTCCCTGGCAGGGATTTGTCGTCACAAATGATAACCCGCAAAAACCTCCCCAGCGACTTGACCCAGCTTTCGGCGCTCACTTTATTGTGAGTGGCGCATCCGTTATGTTTCCTTTCGCTTCCTCAACAATGTGTTGCCCTGAGGCCTGATTCTGCCATGGTCACTGTTCACGCGCATGTTCTTGCTCGCAGATCCATGAATAAGAACTTGCTGGACGGCAACATGGGGAATTACCTCAAGTATCTCACTGGCCTCTCCGCGCTCCAAAGCTTGTGAGCTTCCGTGGCTGCAACTCCTGATACAATTTTCTTTCCTTTCATCCTCGGACGGAACCATTGGTCCATCCATTCGTCCGTCCATCCCTCCCCCCCTCCCCTCCCTCCCCCCTCCCTCCCCCCTCCCTCCCCCATCCCCCCTCCTTCCCCCCTCCATCCCCCCTTTCTCCCCCCTCCCTCCCTCCCTCCCTCCCTCCCTCCCTCCCTCCCTCCCTCCCTCCCTCCCTCCCTCCCTTCCTCCCTCCCTCCCTCCCCCTTTCCTCCCCCCTCCCCCCACCCCCCCCCCCCCCCCTCCCTCCCCATTCTACCCTCCCTAAACCTTAAACCGTAAACCCTTAATTACTAGAGTGTTCGTCGGCATGCGCCTCTCCATCGTTTCGTCACACTGTCTTCGTCTGTCGTCTCTCCCTGGCAGGTCCATGGAATACATGTACTTTTATGGACCGTTCCCAAGCTCCTTGCTAGACTCAACGAGCCTCACTGCTCTGTAAGTAAAAAGCGACTTGGCACGTCTCCATATTTTTCCAAGCTGTTTGGACCTTACCCCCCCTCCCCCTCTTCCGCCATCTCCCTTCCCCTCCCTCCCCTCCCCCCCCCCTCCCTCCCCCCCTCCCCCATTTGCTCCCCAACTCACCTCATCGCTCCTCATCCCACCTCCCACTGACAACCACCCCCTCCAACACACCCCCATAGGGAACTGTCATACAACTACCTCACGGGCTCCCTGCCATCCACCATCACCAAGATCAAGTCCCTCAAGATCCAAAAAAACTTCCTCGTGGGCTCGCTGCCGTCCTCCTCCTGGACCGCTTGCACCTGCCACAACAACTGCCTTACCTCCGTCGGCACGTGCACTAGCAACTCTCAGCGGGCCAGCTGTAGCATCTGCGGCAGCACTGATGGCACCGGCACACTGTGTGACCCGGGGCAGGCGTGCGAGCCGGATGACGACGCGAGAATTGCCGCCAGGACTGTGAATGTCGAGGTTCCAGACCTGGGGCTGCGGTGTAGAGTGTATGGCCTTCTCATCGACTCTACTCAGGGTCAGTGCTACTCATGTCGCTCAAATAATCTGCTGTCACACACTTGTGCACTCTCTTGTGCTCCTGCACTCGTACGCTGTCCAACTATTGCGCTCATGTTCTCTCAGAATCTTCCCTATTGCATTGCACAAGTGATTTCGCACTCACGCACTTGCACTCTCACACCCTTTCTCTTGCATTTTTGCACTGACGCACCGTGGGAATATAGCACTCCTGCAATCTCGCATCTTGCGCTTATGCACTCTTGCAACTTGCTCTCTTCTTGCTATTGCGCTCTCGTGCACTGTTGCTCTCACTATCTTCCACTCTTGTACTCTTGTACTCGTGCACACTTGCATCCTTGCACTCCTGTTCTCCCGCACTTTGCACTCCTGCAATTCCGCACGCATTCTTACACTCGCTCGCTTCTCAATCGTGCACTCTCACACTCTTGCAATCTCTCTTTCTCCTATTCTTACACTCACGCAGTATTCCACCCTTGCGATCTTGCACTCTTGTATTCTTACCCTCTTGTGCTTTTTCATTTGCACCCTTGCACCGTTGCACTATCTCAATTTGCATTTCTTTTACTCATGCACTCATGCGCCATCGCACTCATGCACTATCTCGCCGTTGCAACCTCCCTCTCTTCTCACTATTCCACTCTCGCAATCTTCTATTGCTTCCATTGCGCCCATGCCTCATGCATTTTTGCACTTTCGCAAACTTGCACTATTGCACTCGCACACTTTTCCACAGCTGCAATTCCGCACTCTCGCAGTCCTGTCCTGTTGCACTTTTTACACTTTTGAATACAGTCTTGCACTCTTGTAAACTCGCTCTCTTGCACTTGTGCATTCATGCGCGCACATACTCTTGCACTCTCACCCTCTTGTAGCACTAGCTCTCATGCACTCTCGCGCTCTCACACTCTCGCACCCTTGCACTCACACTTGCACCCTCGAATCCTCGCACTCTTGCAATTTCGCTTTCTCACTCTCACACTCGCTCACTCCTGCCCCTCTGCCACCTTCCGACAGCCAATGCATTGATGACGGTGAAGGATCTTCTGGGTGTGACCTTCACGACCTGGACCTCCACCAACCTCTGTCGCGTCACCGGGATATCAACGCCCCTCCAGAACGAGTGGACTGGCGTCTCTTGCAATCTCGCCAGCTCTGTGGAGTCCATGTGAGTGGCCAGCTGGTCAGTGGGGTAGTGCGGCAATGGGGCAGGGGCGCAGGTGTGCATGGGGTCGAAACTGGACAGAGTGTGAATTACTGCAGACGGATTCAAACCGTCGTAACTTTGCCTGACAGGGGTGCGATTTCAATAACATGTGCTTGAAGTGTCAAGTCGAGCAATCTTCACAGCAGGATTTCATTGCTAGAGGGAGACAGATGAATGGAGGAGGAAGGGGGACAGGACAGGCATGTGCCCATGCAGCCAGCCTCTATCACCTTCTTCGCACAGCCTTCCTCTGCCTCTTCCATCACCCCCTGCAGCTCGGTGGCACGTCAGAGTCTCAAGGGGTTTATTGTTCAGGAAATCTCCAGCCTCACCGCGCTCACTTACCTGTAAGGGTGAATCAGGGAGCGCACACACAAGAACCTGCAGCGCACGTATACACAGGCATGCAGACTGCATTGCAAAGGGAGTTCCTATCTGTCGAGTGCTCATGTGCCACACACCGAGGATAAAAACGTCTTTTGCTTCTGAAATTGAAGTCTAGCGTGCTGTCATTGCAAGTCGTTTGGGCACGGATTGAGAGATCTGGGAAGGGACACGGACGGACAAGTTTTATTCTCTCATCACATGTCCTTCGCCATGGTGAATGGACATCCTTCGCCTCCCAGAGAAGGTGATCATGATTGTGTGCATTTGCACGAGTGAGGATAAATCGTGCTGCTGATGTGATGCTGGCGTGGACAATGGCTAGCAAGCAGCGTTGGTCTCTTCAAGCCATCCTTCCTACAGCACAACCCTTCCATTTCCGATATGCGATTAATAGAACTTGAGTTCTCCCTGACCTGTTTTAGGAATTTCGGCTACAACCTTTTTCAAGGCAGTCTCGAAGCGTTTACCTACTCAATCAAAGACATGACCACCCTAAAGGCGCTGTAAGTACCTTCTCCTATGTAAGAGCTTCAAAGATTTCCATTGTTTGTAGGTAATGTGTAGTGTATCACACAATGTGTATGGTAGAGCCAAGCTGAGCGCGAATTCCAGTATCACTGTGTAGCCCTTCTTCTTCCTGGCGTTCTCAAAATGTATTCCACGTTGACCTCTCGTTTCCTCCCTGCTCGGTGCATTCCTGCTTCTATACTTTTCAGTTTTTTCAACAACTGGTTTGCGGGATCGATTCCCTACTTCATCGCCTCCCTGCCACAGCTCACCACACTGTAAGCTAACCACACAGCCTCAAATATACGCAGATGCATGCAGGAGGCTCGTTGCTGGCCTTTCTGCCCAGCCTTACATCTCACTTGTGTCGTACTGTCTGTGCTGTTTCTTCCTCCCCTTCTTCTGTTGGCCTCTCCAAACCCCCCTACTCCCCTCCCCCCTCCCCCCCCCTCCTCTCCCCCCCCACTCCCTATGCCTCCGCCCCCCAGCGGCCTCTTCTGCAACTACCTCACGGGCACCATGCCCATCCCCTCCACTTCCCTGGTCTCTCTGGACGTGGGCCTTAACTTCCTCTCGGGCTCCTTCCCCCAGCTCTCCCTCGCGGTCTGTGCGGCCGACCAGAACTGCTTCCTCAACTCCTCCTACTGCCGCACCTACGGCGTGCAGCAGCGCCCCGCCTCTGCCTGTGTCTTCTGCGGCACGACCGACGGGCAGGGGGTGCTGTGCGGTGGTGGAACTTGTGCTCCACTCAGCCAGGGAGTTGTCAACGTGCCCTCGCTGCCGCTGGTGCCCATGGCTTGTCCGGGTGCGTGTCGCATGTTGAGCGGCAGTGAGGAGAGGAGGCTCGTACAAGAAACGAGCACTAAGGAAACGGCATGGAGTTGATGTCAAGTGGCACTAAGGAGACTTAAGGGCAGGCTGGAGAAATTGATATGATGTGGCATGGCATGTCGTGAACTGCCACCATTAAATTAGGAATGCAACTTCTGTTTGTTGCTTGTTCAATGCGACCATCTAATCATATGCTCTCAACCATCTGTTGCAAGCATTCTTCACCTGATTTCTGTCTGACTGGTTCATTGGTTCGTTGATTTGTGTCTGACTGTCCCCGTGGTGCTTATACAGGATTAGCTCCTTTGGTCTTCGTAAATGCTGCCTCTGGTGGGTCTTCACTCTTAAAGCCAACATCCATGGCCCTCCGACTCTCTTCCTGCACCATCTCTCTCAAGCGCTCGCTTCCTGTATCTTCACTTACTTCCTGCATTCACCAATGAAACAGCCTACTACAGGCTACACCCATGCTACGTGCATACTTCTTCCTCTTACCACGATGTCTCTCTTTCCACTGTGCCCCGATTTATGCTTAATTCGTCCTCTTCCGCCTTTCTCTTTCCCTGCCCATTCTCTCCTTTCAGCGTCCATTATGCTTTCCCTCAAGTCATCCCTGAGTGTGTCATACACAAGTTGGGCCACCTCCTCTTTATGCACCACGAACACCGGAGGACGATCCACGCCTGGAGTCACCGTCTGGACTAATTCTCTTTGCTCTGTTGACGGGACACCCGTTCAATTGTGAGTGCCCCAAAACGCACATATGCATGAGCCTTATAAAAGCTTATTAGTTAGCAGGTGTTTCAAACAATCGTGAGCAATCACACACTTGTGATTGAGTCTGCTTTGCATTTCGCCACTAGGCTCATGTTGACAGGTACTGATTGAGTCTGCTTTGCATTTCGCCACTAGGCTCATGTTGACAGGTCCTGTGCAGGGCAGCCGTACTACCCGTTCTCCCTTATCAGCGTAGCTGTAGGAAATTCTTGGTGTGACACTTGGGCTGGGGTATATCACCACCAATGGGACGACCCACACACTTTGCACTTATTGCCACAAGCCATCCGTATGGATAGAATTCTCCCACTGCTCCACACCGTTGTTCTTACATTCCATCCTCACATTTCATACGAGCCCGTTTATACTCCAAATGGTGTCTCTAACCGTGCCTATTGCCCCCTCCTCCGCATTACACCCCCCTGGTTGCTGGGGACACACCCTCGGCTCGGTTGCTTGCAGGAACCTGAACAGTTTGGCCCTCAAGGGCAGCCTGCCGGCTGACATCACCAAGCTCACCACCTTCACCTACTTGTCAGTTCCCCTCCTCTCCTTTCTCTATCACTCGTCCTTCCCTTGTACCTGACTGACGAGCTTGATCCTGACCAGGCCGACCCGACCCGACCCAAATCTTGCCGTTGGGTCAGCTTGACCTGAACCGACCCTGGGTAAATGCCAACCTGACCCCTTTTCAAGATGGGTAACTGACTCGGCCCAAGCAAAACCAAGTCGTCGGTGGGGCGAACCATAGCTCATATCTAGTGGATTGCTACTGACAAGCACTAACTGTTCTGGTGGAGCAACTTGGCGGTCTGGTACGTGGAAGGAAGGGACCGCTTTGAAGAAGCTTCAAGCGAGCGCATCGGCCAGTCGCTTGAGGAAGGTGGGACCTGGGTGCATGGTGCAGGAGAGATGTGAGTGGGAGCATCATCCATGATCAGCTGTAAGTCTCTCCTCGAGCTGGGGAAATTCAAGGCCGCATACTTCACACACACAAGCACACCAAAGCTGAAGCGAAGTGAAACCCCTGCCAAAGTCTTTAGTGACTGTTGGATCCCCGGTGTTGTTTGAACACACTTGCGTTTGGTTGAGTGCACTTGCTTGAAACACACTTACTGTGTGTGAGGTGTGACAAGAGTGCCTGAAAGGAGAAAAGAGTGCCTGACAGCGTGGAGGATGGCTTTGCGGCCATTCCATACTGGTTGAAAAAAGTGTCTCATGTGCATCACATGGGCGTTTTGACCGGACGGGTCGCGTCGACCCGACTCCGACCCGCTTTTTCAGCCGGGTGGGGTTGCAGTGCCCTGAAAGGTCGACCCGGCCGAACGTGCTGACCTGTCCCGGGTGGGTCGGGTCGGCCCACGATCCACATTTAGCTCATGGAAACGGGTCGAGCCGACCCGACCCAATATTGGTTCGGTTTGATCCGACCCGTTGGGGGGTCGCAAGGGCCACCCATTTTCACTCGACATTTTACCGGGGATGGACATTTCAACCCCCAGCCTTCAGATCTGTTTGAGACGTAGCACTAAAAGTATTTTAGTCTAGGCTCGACTACCTTGCATTTGCGTTACAATTTCGACGAAGTGGTGGCATTGTCACGTTCAGGTCATTCCGCCCTAAACCTGCAATTATACCCTAAACTTATCGCATTCTCCCCACACTTCAGCAGCCACAGGCCCCTCCACCACAGAGCAGCGCACATGAATGGAAGTTCAGCATTAAACACAAAGCGTGTCAGAAAACTCGACCCGCCTACAGGTCGACCCAACCCATGCACGGGTCAATGTCGATCGGGTCGGGTCGAGACAAAGGGTGGGTCGGTTCGTGACAAAGGCTGACCGGGGGCCAGGTTGTCCCGACCTGACTCAGACCTGCCACGGGTCGGGCAAAACGGATATGGGTCGGGTCTGGTCGACCCGTAGCCCATGTATGTATACACGTGCTGTGCTGCCATGCTGTGTGCTGCCATGCGGTGTGCTACCATGCCGGTATTGCTGCCATAGTGTGTGCTGTCGTGCTGTCATGCCATGTGCTGTTATGCTGTTTGCGTTGTTCCCTGTGCTGTAATGCCATGTCACACCTGCACTGCCCTGTTTCCCAATCCGCCGGCCCTGTGTCCCAATCTGCCGGCCCTGTGCCCCTATCTGCCTGCCCTCAACCAGATCCCTCAGATCGAATCTCCTCAGCGGTCGCTTGGATGCCTTCCTCTCCGGCTTCAAGGGGTGTACAAATCTACAGCATATGTGAGCAGTCAAGAGAATGAGAGTAGTGAAGAGAATTTGAGTAGACAAGAGAATGAGAGAAGTCAAGAGAATGTCAATAGTCAAGAGTATGCGAGTAGTCAAGACAACGTGAATAGGCAAGTCAATGTGAGTAGTCAGCGGCACACTATGAGTTTAGAATGGTAGAATAAAAAGCATGGTTGATGAAGGGGTAAGAAGCCATGCACTTGGCTGTGGCAAGAACATGATTAATCAACATAGCCACAAGTTCATGATTGGGGGCAGAATTCTTCCAGCATTGACCTGGCAGATTGTTTTCACATCGTCCCAGCATTGAGTGAGTGAGTGGTTTCATCAATTTGCCCACCAACTACCCTGCCATCCACGTGGCAGTCTTCTCTCGTACAACTATTTTTACGGCGAGGTCCCGTCATTTGTCAAGGATCTCCGCTTACTTATTACTCTGTAAGTAAGGTCACTGCATACCTTTCAAGCCCTTGTCCTTCGCTCGACGTTTTCTCCCATGATATCCAGCCATCATCATGATTCACAACCCCTCTTGTCCCGCCACCTCTGCTCTCTTGTCCACCACCTAACTCTGCGCCATTTGCAGGGATGTTAGGAAGAACTACCTCACTGGCACCATCCCACCCCTGCCTATGGCAACCCTGAAGTCTATTAACTTCGAGAACAACTTCATTTCAGACCTCCCTTCTCTCTCTTCTAGTTTCGAGTGCTACGGAACTCAAAACTGCCTCTCTAATCCCTTCATGTGCCGCCTTGGCGGAACCGTCCAGCGACCCGCTGCTCAGTGCGCCATCTGCGGCACTACCAATGCTGTAGCTCTGTGCTGGGGCGCCGGTGGGGAGTGCGTGCCCGCTTCTGCTTCTAACATTGCAGCGGGCGTAGTAAACTCACGTTTACAGGCACTTGTGCCCCTTTCCTGCTCAGGTAACTCTCCTCTACTCCCTCAACGTGGGTGCAGCAGGCAGGGCTGTGTCTGGGTATGTGAACGAAGCTGTGTGCTGACTTGTGACTGGTGTTTGTGTCAAAATTCTTCCTGTACTCATGCACCCATCTGCTTCTCCTGCCGCTGGTGCAGCTGCTGTTGCTGCTGCTGATCATGATCGTGTTTCACTCATCTGACCACCTTCTACGTGGCCTAAACCTCCCTGTAATCTTCTCTGCAGGCGGTCCTGTAATTCCCGTGTCATCTACTAGCGCTGCAGGTGTGTGGATGAAACTCCTTGTCATGCCATCCATGCACCATGGATCAGTCGTATGTAGTTTTTGGCATTTCATTCAATCTGCAGGCCCAGCTAGACCTGGACTAAGTTCAAAACTTTGGGTTGGTTTGGGTCGAAGCTGTTTGTCTCGAACCAAGACATTGCAAAAAAGTGTTTGCTTCAAACCTTTAATAATTCGACGCCGTACTTGTGTGACTGAGGTCGCACGGTGTTGGTGGTTTTGATGAAAAGCAGAGTAGTTGAAAGTTCTGTAGCATTGTTTTATGGTTCCCTAAACCCCTTCAAAACCTCTACTTATGTTGTGCCGAAAGAATGTGTAAAAAAGACCTGTATGAAAGTGTAGTAATAGAGAAATAGCTGGTCGAGCCGAACTCAAACAGGTTCCAGTCGATTAGGGGTATTGTAGGTTCAATCCGAATCCTACGAGTTTGAGTTCATGGTGGAACTGCCAACCTCATCCCCACCCATTTCAGTTCGACTCGACTGAAATGGTTCGGTTCGACTAGGGGGTGGGTGGGGGGTCGATGCGGTTCCAGTTTAACATGATTCAGTTTGGTTTTGCTCATCCCTTATCCCAGTGCCCCTCTCTCTCTGTCTCCCTTCCAACTACTTCCTTCGTGGTCTCTCCTCTCCTCCTTCAAACTCTCCCGATTCCCATGTTTCTTTGCAACCCTATACATCTCACACCTCTCCCACTGTCTCTCCCCGCTCCCCCTCTCCCCCCCCACCCGCTCCCCTTCACCAGCACTGCTGGCCCTCAAGGCATCGCTGGGCGTGACGTTCACGTCGTGGGCAGCAACTGTGCCGTGCCAGGTGGTTGGCAAGCAGCCTCCACTGCCCACGTGGTCCGGCGTGCTCTGTGATGAAACCGAGGGAGTTCTCTACATGTGAGCACACATGCGTCAACCGTGATTGATGTAGCTTGCCGTCAACTGACATTCTTCAAATGCTTTCAGATGCAATATCTCTTACCATTCCAAATGAGTGGGCTGTTACAACGCCTTCTAAGCGAGTGTGCTGTTACAAAACCCTCTATATAATTGGGCTTTTACAACTCCTATGTCAAAAAGCTTCTCGACTCGATCACAGTTTCCCCCAGCCCCTGATACTAACCTCCCTGCCTCTATCAACCCCCACCTCCCTGCCTCTTGCATCACTCCCCTCAGCTCATTGGCGCATCAGAGTTTGCAGGGGTCTATTCATTCAAGCATCTCCAAGCTCACCGCGCTCACTTACCTGTAAGGCTGAAACGGGAAGTGCTTCTTGTAAGGCAGAGCCATGTTTTACTGCCAAGGTTGTGTCGTGTTCAGTTTGGATGGTAAATCATCTGCTACCTGCAAAATGGCTGGACACAATCGCACAGTATCTCTCTGGATTCTTAATATAAATGCAGCACACTCATATCATATCACCGCTCGCTCTCATATAGCTGCAATTTCCAACTCTACCCTCGCCCCGCCCACCCGCCGCAGTGACTTTGGCTACAACCTCTTCCAAGGCCGCCTTGACTCGTTCTCTGCGCCACTTCAGACCGTGCCAAGCCTCAAGGCGCTGTGAGTTCCAAACCTCGTGTCTGATGGCGCCTGGATACCAGCCTCTCGTGTGTGATGACATGAAATGCTTCGTGGATCACGATCCCTAGCACTTGATAGGACAAGATCCGCCCTTCTTTTCTTCTTTTGTCCTAGGAGCATAATTTCTTTGATGTCCCCTCATAATTCCTTGGATGTCGTCTCCTTCCTCCCACCCACAGCTTCCTGCACTACAACTGGTTTGCGGGATCCATTCCCTCCTTTATTGCCTCCCTGCCCAATCTCACCACACTGTAAGCGGCACGCACAGCTTCCAAGTTCCGCAGCTGCAAGCAGGAGCCTCGTTGCTGGCCCAAAGCAGCTTGCTCACTATTGCCCCTTTCTCCTTGCGGGCTCTCGTCTCTCATAGCTCACCTTTCCTCCATTCTAGCGCCACCCATCTTAATCTCGTGCCTGTGTTCGTTCGCCCTTCCCTCCCACCCTGTGCTTGTGTTTGTTCACCCCCGCCAGAGGCCTCTTCTCCAACTACCTCACGGGCACCATGCCCATCACCTCCACCTCCCTGGTCGCCCTGGACGTGGGCCTTAACTACCTCTCGGGCTCCTTCCCCAATCTCTCCCTCAAGAGCTGTTCGGCCGACCACAACTGCTTCCTCTCCTCCTCCTACTGCCGCTCCTCCGGTCTGCTGCAGCGCCCCGCCTCCGCCTGTGCCATCTGTGGGTCTGCCGACGGCCAGGGGGAGCTGTGCTTTGGTGCGCTGTGCGGCCCTGACAGTGCCGATGCAGTCAGTCAGGGGATTGTAAACTCTCCCACTCTGCCAATGGTCCCCATGAAGTGTCTCGGTGAGTGTGGTATCGCAGGCCCTTTTTCTGGATGAAACAGTGAGCACGGCCATTATACATGGTTCTACTTTCACCCACCATCCTTCCGTTTGCGCTTGTCTCCCAATACAGTGCATGTCACCTGCAGGAAGCTCTGTGGTGATTCCACAACCAATAGCGATTAAGTGTGTTCACCAAATTGGTGTATCACCCATTTCAGCAATGCCACAGTCCGAGCAAAAAGCACGTATCTGGACATCCGTGTGGAGTGGAGAGGGCTGGGTTCATCGTGTCGTCTGAAACCAAGAGGGTCTATCCGGCTGGACATTTTGTCTCCCCTGGCTGGTCTGTGGCAAGCACGCACTGGCCGGCACTGGCAGGCAGGGGCGCGGATTCCATGATGGCAAAGTAGCGTGGAGGCAAGGAGGACCACTCAGTGCAATGCCATTCCTTCCCTGCTGTTGTCTGAAGGAGCCTAATACTGGATGGATGCTGCGTTGCACACCCACGGGACGCTGGCTGGCTGGTTGCCCATCCCAACGTTCGGGCTGCCTCCAGTTCCTTCTGTGTGTCTGTCCTTCCTTGTCCGCGTCTGTGTTTGCCCCTGGCCATGAATCTGTTTGTGACTGTACAGATTCGCCCGTGGTAGTGATGAAGACTGACTCAGGTGAGACTTCTCTTCTAATAACACACTCCCATGCCTTTCTATTCTAGTACACACCTTACCCCTCTTTTTCTTCATGTACTAGCTTCTTATAAGCCTCGTATGCGCTTCTACCTATCCTCCCTTCTTCAAATTCACTCCTTTCGAGCGCACTGAATCACCCTCATTCACACCTCCCTTTTCACCTGCAATTTTTGTCCCGAACCTCTTCCTCCCTCCTTCCTCCTCCTCCTCCTCCTCCTCCTCCTCCTCCTCCTCCTCCTCCTCCTCCTCCTCCTCCTCCTCCTCTTCTGCTTCCTCCTCACCATCTCCCCCCATCTCGCCCCATCCCAGCATCGGCTCTACTGAGCGTCAAGTCATCTCTGGGAGTCACCGACTCCTCCTGGGTCGCCGCCTCTTCCTGCACCATCGGCAGCAGCGCCATCGGCCTTGAAGGCACCTGGAATGGCGTGGGCTGCTCCGCTGCTGGGGAAGTCCTGAGTGTGTGAGTGCTTTAAGGAGCCACGATCGTGTGACGTTATTGATGCTGTTACCTGTCGTGCTCATAATCTTGGTGGATGCTACCAGCCAAGATACTTCATATCTGGCAAGTGGAGTCAGATACTGACTGCCTGGCTGGCTACTGCACTGCCCAGGTTTTGAAAGAACTTCAAAGAGGGCTCCAACGCACTGCTTTGTCCGCCATATGGTGCCTTGGAGGAGGAGGCATTACAGTTTGCCAAAAGGGAGTCTCTGTTATTACTGTTTACTCACTATCACGCCATGTTTCCACACCTCATCCCCTCCATCTCTCACGTGGTCGTCTTGTTGAAAATGGACTCATCCACTCTAGAAGTTCTTTTATCCTTGCCTTATCCACCTCTCCTCTGCATCACACCCATCCTCCCCCCCCCCTCCCTCCCCCCCGGCTGCCATCACACTCCTCTTGCCTGCGTGCAGGAACGTGTCTTCCATGGCCCTCAAGGGCACCCTGCATGCCGACATCTCCAAGCTCACTGCCCTCACATTATTGTTAGTTCCTCTCTCCTCATTTCTCAGAAATCTCTTCATTTCCTTTCTTCCTTCCACGATTCCTTACCCTTGTCCATCTCACTCCACTTCTCTCCCACTCTTCCTATCTCCATTGACCTCTGTCTACTCTAATCCTCCCTCTCTCCCTCTTCAATTCTCTTGTTAGACAAGAGGTATTCTTCTGCTTCCAAACTCGCCCTTCCCCCGATTGCATTGTAATGTCCCATCGCATCCACCTGATAAATTTCAACCACATGCGCATCTTGCTTCCCCCAATGCCTCAGGGACCTGTCGAGCAATCTCTTCCGCCAGAACCTCGCGTCCTTCACGTCTGGCTTCTCCAAACTCCAGGCCATCAACCGCCTGTGAGTGGAGTGACGCTCGTGCTGTGAGTGCTTGGGCATTCTTTTGGGAGTAACCTCACACACACACACACACGCACGCGTGCACGCACGCCCGCACGCACGCCCGCACGCACGCCCGCACGCACGCCCGCACGCACGCACGCACGCACACACACACACAGACACACACTCGGCACCTTGTGGGCTAGGTTAGTCTGATACTGACACCATTCCATGGGTCCCAAGCTAACCCACATGGTACACATCACACCGCACTACTCTGTCGTTGCGGTGCGAGTCGTCCATCCCAGAATATATAAGAACTAACATGAACCTCTCGAACCACGTACCTCCAGGGACCTCCACGCAAACGCACTGACCGGGACGGTGCCAGCGCTGCCCACCTCTCTCCTCTTCCTTGCCCTGCAAGACAACTTCATTGCGGGAAGCTTCCCTGCAGCTTCGCTGACAAGCTGTGACGCGAGCAGCAACTGCCTGGCGGATGCGATGGCGTGCAGCGAGGCGAGCGCTGCGGCTCAGAGGGATGCCGACACGTGTTCTTTCTGCGAGTCGCAGGACGGGCAGGGCTTGCTGTGCTTCGGAGGGCTGTGCCTGCCAGATGTGGATGGCAGCTCCGTGCATGATGATGGCATGGACCCTCCTCGCATGTACTGCGCTGGTGAGTCATGGCACGTGGTGGCGGTGAGTTGTGTCATGTCGTGGTTGGTAAAGTCATGCCCCATTGGTGCTTCATGCCATGCGGCAGTGCGTGCACCCCATAAAATCTGGTATACTGGAGAATCACTTTTATGCCCCTGGGCCCTGTCTATCCGTCTCGATTCTTTAACGGATCTATCCATCGCCGCCCTCATTCCTCCCAATGAGCTTGCCCTTCTCCCTGCCATTGCCCACTGCAGAAGCGCCGGTGGTCACAATCCAAGCGACCGATGGTGAGACAGTCGTCGACACACTTGCCAATTTACATGGATGCTATCACGTTGTGCTTTCACAAGTCAGTTTTTTGTTGACGGACTTTTCTCATTGTACATATTGGAGTTCAGTGCAGTAACTTTACCTTCACTCCGTCAACCATCCCCACTCCATTCGGCCAACTCTCTTCTCTGCCCAGCCTCCCACAATTTCTGTTACTCAACCTTCTCCTTCCTCCCTTCCCTGCCCCTTCCTCTCTCCCCTTCAACCCTCCTCACCCCAACTCTCACAGCCCAAGCGCTGCTGGCAGTGAAGGGCGCGCTGGGGGTGACCTTCACAACGTGGGGGCTTGACATGCCGTGCACCACGGCTTCTGTAGGGCCGGCTATTGAAGGCACCCTCACTGCTGTGTCCTGCAACCCTTCCGGCAGAGTTCGCACCTTGTGAGTCCTCACTATTGCTTGAGAGTCCTCACCACTACTTGCGAGTCTGCTTTTTTGCACTGCTGCTGCTGTAGCAGCTGTTTCCCACTGCTGGTAAATATTCTCTTATTGTTTTGAAGCCATGCTACTATGGCTGCTCTCTCACCTACCGTTCTTGCCACTTTTCCTCACCACTTCAACCAGCTGCCACCACAAGTCTTCCTTATCCACTTTGATCCTTCCAGGCAACTAGGGCGTCTCAACCTAGCAGGCACTCTCCCTCGTGCAGTCACCGACCTCACGGCTCTCACTTCCCTGTAAGCATGCCTTGCTCACCAGCTATGCCGTCCCCTATAACATGACATTCCCGAAGTAGTCTCATTCTTGCACTGCATGCCTCTCCCCATTTCCACAGCCATCCTTCTCCCTGTTTTGCTACCCGTCTCCCGTTTTTAAATAAACTGCCCCACCCATACAACCCCTCTGCTTCATTTTTTTCTGACACTCTCCATATTTTCCCCACACTCCTCTCCCCTCGCTGCCAGCGATCTGAGCGGCAATCTCTTTCAGGGTCGCCTGGACGAGGTCGTCACACACCTTCGCCTTCTCACCGCCCTCCAGTCCATGTGCGTTGACCTCACCACCTGTGCTGCAAGCAGATTCTCTACCAGCATCTGTGCCACCTGATACAGAGGTCGTTTGTCTCTTGCACTTGTGCTAAGGCACGCTGCCCTGAAAGGCAGCACTAGTTCCCAGACAGCCTTGCACACCTTGAGTTGTACGGGCATTCATGCGCCATTATGTTGAGTTGACCCCCTGCCATTTTCATTCACCTGCATTTTCTATCCGATCAACTTGCTCCCTCTACCCAACCATCCCCCTCGACGTGCAGCAACCTCTCATTCAACTGGTTCTCTCACACTGTCCCTGGATACCTGCTCGCTCTCCCCAATCTCTCCAACCTGTGAGATACCATACCTTCCTAATGTGGTGCCATCTTTTTCTTTCACCTAACATCCCCTCACGTCGTTGATTTCACTTTCACGTCATCTTTTTCTTTCCACATCACATCCACCTCTCAACGGTTGGGATTCATCCTTGAAAATAAAACGTCCTCCCTTCACCGCCCCCCACCAGCGTGCTGGGCTTCAACTACCTGACGGGGTCGCTGCCTGGCAGCATAGCAGCGCCTCTCAAGGCTCTGGACGTGCAGTTCAACTTCCTTGCCGGCTCCTTCCCCGCCCTCGGCCTCGCCTTCTGCTCCGCCCGTATCAACTGCTTTGCTTCCACCGCCAACTGCAAGCACCCCACAAGGCCCGCTGAGATCCCGCGCACAGCAGCCGCCTGTGCCATCTGCAACACCACGAACGCTCAGGGCAAGCTATGCAGCAACATCATCAGTGGTGGGATCTGCAGCGTCACTCCTCCTCCCTCGCTCCTGCTCCCACCAGCCACACCCAACAGTGCCTCATCGCCCGTGCTCCCTCTGGTCTGCACCGCTGCTGCAAGTGTGGCCATGGATGCGACTCAAGCCGCTGCGCTGATGAATGTGAAGGTGGCGCTGGGAGTGTCGTTTCCAGACTGGCGGGTCGATGCCCTCTGCACCCTTGTGGGCTCGCCACTCTCGGCCCCCAACACATGGAATGGCGTTGCGTGTGACGAGTCCGGGAAAGTGCTCCGAGTGTGAGTGCCCTGTGCCCTGCCTGCTGCTGTGCTTGCTGTGTGTGGTCATCCTACTGAGACTGGCAGGAAGTTGCTGATTTTCAGCATCAGGTCCTTCTTCAGGTGTGGTCACCTTCTGCATTCGGTACATTCCCCACTGTTGCTGCTTGCTGTTTCTATCACATGTGCTGCCTTCCCTACGTGATACATCTGATTCCCTCCTGAGGTCTGCTGCTTGAGTTCTGCATTTCCCGTGTGTGCTATTCTCCTGTTGTGTTGCCCCCCCATGTGTGCTGCCCTCCCCTCTCCATGTGCACGGCAATGAATGACGACGCGCAGGTCGCTCAAGGGGCAGGGCCTCACAGGGAGCATCCACTCGGAGATCTCCAAGCTCACTACCCTCACCGTGCTGTGAGTACACATGCTCACCACCCTCACCGTGCTGTGAGTACACATGCTCACCACCCTCACCGTGCTGTGAGTACACATGCTCACCAGCCTCACCGTGCTGTGAGTACACATGCTCACCACCCTCACCGTGCTGTGAGTACACATGCTCACCACCCTCACCGTGCTGTGAGTACACATGCTCACCACCCTCACCGTGCTGTGAGTACACATGCTCACCACCCTCACCGTGCTGTGAGTACACATGCTCACCACCCTCACCGTGCTGTGAGTACACATGCTCACCACCCTCACCGTGCTGTGAGTACACATGCTCACCACCCTCACCGTGCTGTGAGTACACATGCTCACCACCCTCACCGTGCTGTGAGTACACATGCTCACCACCCTCACCGTGCTGTGAGTACACATGCTCACCACCCTCACCGTGCTGTGAGTACACATGCTCACCACCCTCACCGTGCTTTGAGTACACATGCTCACCACCCTCACCGTGCTGTGAGTACACATGCTCACCACCCTCACCGTGCTGTGAGTACACATGCTCACCACCCTCACCGTGCTGTGAGTACACATGCTCACCACCCTCACCGTGCTGTGAGTACACATGCTCACCACCCTCACCGTGCTGTGAGTACACATGCTCACCACCCTCACCGTGCTGTGAGTACACATGCTCACCACCCTCACCGTGCTGTGAGTACACATGCTCACCACCCTCACCATGCTGTGAGAGACAGAGCACCACCACATGCACCTGCTATTCATTATCCAATGCTCACGCATTTTGCTTCTTCACCTCGGTCCCCTGCAGCATCCCCCCCTGCACCAATCCTCCGTGCACCATTCACCCTTTTCCTTCCCCCCTGCACCGCGTGCCCTGCTGGCATGGCAGTGACCTGCAGTCCAACCGGCTGGAAGGCAAGATGGACGCCTTCACTGCCAACATCAAGGCGCCTCTCGTGCTCAAGGAGCTGTCAGTGCCTGCCTGCCCCCACCCACCCATGCTTCGATCCTCCCATCCACCCATCTTTCCACCCTCCCATCAATCCATCCACCCGTCCACCCGCCGATCCATCAACCCGTCCGCCCATCCATTCATCCTTCCATCCAACCATCCATCCACCCATCCATTCATCCTCCATCCACACCACCGTTCAGCCAGTCGGCATGAATGCCGAGTCCCTGACCGGGATGCGTCACACTTCTCTCGCAGCCCCATCAGTTTCGAGCCCCACACACTTGACTGCACAAGCAAGAAAATGCCACAAATTGCTCCCCGAGGCAACACTAGCCAAGGATAACTAAACTCCTCCTTCCGTCCTCCCTCTCCCCTGGCCCGCATGTCCCATGCACCCATGCAGCTACCTGCAGTACAACTACCTCTATGGCACCTTCCCTTCGGCCCTCCTCGCCCTGAAAACCCTCTCAACACTGTGAGTCAGCAATTATAATGATATGCTGCATCAGGGCCTTTGATTCTATTGGAGTTTTGTTGGAGACAAGCAATCAAAGCGACAAAGTCGAATGCACCCCAGCTGAAGCAGGGCCTTTGATTCTCTCTCAAGTTTCATCGGATGAGTAGGCAGAGTGATATAGTGGAATCTACGTGCACCTCAACTGCCTAAAACTGTGTAGCAGCTAGAGGGACTAGAGACTTGTTCAGACCTTCCGCTGTTCCTTTGCCAGCTGCCAGCACAGAAAGCTAACCATCCTGATTATAACACAGGGAGGAAACATCTGCGATACTCCTTGAAGCCAACCTGAACTGCACCGCATGTATAGTGCGGCATTCAACCTTCCCGCATCTTCACCCGAATAGCTCTGCTTGCGTCACCCACTTCCACACATGCTGCCTGCCTTTTTGTCTGCCCCATAACCTCCTCCCTTCCACCACCACGCCATCAGCTCCGTGGCCTTCAACTACCTCACCGGCTCACTCCCCACCGCACTCCCCACCACGCTCGCCTCTCTGGACGTGCAAAGCAACTTCCTGGCGGGTTCCGTGCCGGCCAACAGCATCCCTTACTGCGCCAGCACGGGCAACTGCCTGGTGGACGCGTCCAAGTGTGCATCCCTGGGACTGCCACAGCGCAGCGCCGCTGAATGTGCCGTCTGTGGCTCCACCAACGGCCAGGGCGCTCTGTGTGCTGCTGCCACAAGCTGCCGGGTTGCTGCTGCTGGGGCTGGGGTGACCACTCCCCCCACTGCGCTTTCCGCTAGTCTCCCTCTCTTCTGCGAGGCTATTCCCATGGACTTGGCATCAAGTGAGTGTGCTCTTGTGCTTCTTCTGTGCACCTCTGTTATCTCAAACGGTATGTGCATACTAGGTAAGTGCATTTCCGAGGTATGCTAACCTAAGGTACAAAAACACACAAAACTAAACAGAATCAGTCCCCCCAGACCACCTCTTTTACCTCTCTCCCTCATGCTCCGTTGGTTTGAAAGAGGGACGGATACAGAAACAGGTGAGTGCAGAGGCAAGTACTCCTAGCTACGTTTTTGCCTAAAACATTTAAAGAAGAGCTGGGTGTTTTTTTTTTTAAATCCATGCCACGTTAGGGATACCTGAGGGGCTGGATTTTAGGATGTGATAGAGGTTTTGTAACCATTTCTCAGGAGCTCAGTGGAACACATGTGATGCCTGCTACAGCTTCATACATCACCACCTTCTACCCACCTGCTCTCTCCTTCTCCTCCTTCACCCACCTCCCATGCACGCCTTGCCAGCCCAAACGATGCTAGCCATCAAAGCTGCACTGGGGGTAACGCTCACAGACTGGGCAGGGTCTCAGGGCACGTGCACGTTGGAGGGGCAGACTCCCGGCCCAGGCGCATGGTCCGGCGTCTACTGCAGCTCCACAGGGGCTGTTGTGGGCATGTGAGTGCTGCCATGCTGCTGTGCTTTGCCGTCCTGCCGTGGGCATGTGGAAATCTGCTCCTCTGTTGCCACTGGAGCTCGACTGTGTTGTGCAGATGTAACATGGATGGATTGGATGTAACATGTAACACACCGTCACTTGCTCTTTCGCTCCACTCTCCCACTTTGCTCTGTGCAGTGTGCTGCAAAACAAGAAGCTGAGTGGAAGCCTCTCAACGGACATCACCAAGCTCACAGCCCTCACCATGCTGTACGCCCTCCCAATCCCTTTCTGTTGTGGACCCTGCCATGGTATCTGCTCTGTTCTGCTACTTGTTGGTCAAACCCAGCTAACTGGCCCGTCTTCTCCGTCTATCTGTTTCCCCTTCTGTTCGTGTGTGCATGTGTCTGCATATATGTGTGTGATGTGTGCGTCTGTGTGCATGCATGTGTGCATGTGTTTGCATATATGTGTGTGATGTGTGCGTCTGTGTGCATGCATGTGTGCATGTGTGCAGCGACCTGAGCTCCAACCTCTTCCAGCGCCGCCTGGATGTCTTTCTCTCTGCCGTCTCTGCCCTCAAGGCACTCAAGAACATGTACGCTTCACCACCGTCCACTAGCATTGTTCATCTGCTGAATGCTCTGTAACGTCGACTGTTAACCACAAACACTCGCACACACACACACACACGCACACTCACACACACACACACACTCACACTCACACACACAAAGTGCTGTGCTGTGCGTGGATATTGACATGCTAGTGGGACAACATTGACATGGTATTGGGTGCACTACACATGGTATTGTATGCTCTGCTGTGCTGTGTGCATCGAGTCACTGAATGCTGCTTTGTGCTGCAGTATGAATCCGCCTCTCACCAATCCTCTCTCCTATCCTCTTTTCAAATGCCCCTCACATCACATCACTCCCCACCCCCTGTCACCTGCAGTACAACTGGTTTACCAGCTCCATCCCCTCCTCCCTCATCGCCTTGTCTGCCCTCTCCACCCTGTGAGTGTTCCCCATCCCCACCACCATCCCGTCCTGTACACATTCTCTCAACGCTCCCGCACACACTCCCCCTCTCCCACACTTGCCTCACTCTCGACACTCAGTTTTGGAACATGTTTATGCTCATTCGCACAGGACCATCTTCCTCCTCCACCCTCCACTGTCCATGCCCCACTTTCAGAACCTCAACCCCGCCTTTCTTCCCTTCCCTCATGCTCCTTCCACTTTCCCCTCCCTCTCACTTCCTTCTCCCTCCCCTACCCCCCCAACCCACACCGCCACGCACAGCAAGCTGAGCCGCAACTATCTGACGGGCACAGTGCCGGCATTCAAGACGTCACTCAAGGCCCTCAACGTGGCCAGCAACCTGCTCTCGGGCTCCTTCCCCATCGCCACCCTCACCGCCTGCGATGCCCGCTCCAACTGCCTCTCCAGCGCCAGCAAGTGCGCCAACGCTGCCGGCACGGCGCAACGGTTATCCTCAGAGTGCAGCGTGTGTGGGTCCACCGATGCTTCTGGCGTTCTGTGTGGGGGAGGGCTGTGCGCCCCTGATGCCTCCGCCCCTGCTGCCTCCTCCACCCCCAACACGGACGGCCAGCCGCTGCTGCCACTGAGCTGCCTGGGAGTGCCCATGGATGCGGCCATGGGGTTGGCGCTGCTGAGTGTGAAGGCATCGCTGGGTGTCACGTTCACGGATTGGTATGTGGATGCGCCGTGTGCACTGGCAGGGCAGGCCGTGGTGCCGGGCTCGTGGTCCAGCGTTGTGTGTGACGCCACCGGCAAGGTTCTCACCCTGTGAGTGCAGGGAGGCTGTCTTGTGTCTCATCTTTGTCGTTTTGGGGTGTGTTTGCCTGTCATGAGCACGGGCTGTCATGCACCTGATTATTCATATCAGTGTCTTTCCACAATGAAGCATCGAATGATGTCTATTTCTTAACCTTGTTATACACATGGGTGGCTGGCATAGCATCGTATGGCATTCATTGTATCCGTACACTTATGCATGCATGGCATCGTATAACATGGCATGGCATGGCATGGCATCATGTCACATTCTCACCATAATTCCACCATCATCATTCACCCTTGTTGTTAATTCCTCTGCAATGCACCACCTTGCGCCACAAACATGCACACAGCAAGCTGGGAGAGCTGCTGCTGCCAGGATCTGTCAACTCCTCGGTGTCCACACTCACCTCTCTCACCAGACTGTAAGCTTTACCTTCCTCCCTCTATTGCTACCTCACTGTGCGTTGTGACTGTTCACCTTTCGTTCTCTGTGGGCGCATAAGTTTCACCTTGCATTCACTAGGGCTCACATGCTCTCCTTGTCATGTGCTATGCTCACATTCTCACATCGTCACATGCTCATACAACACAGTCTCATGCTCACATGCTCTGAGGTGCACGTGTGTGGGCTGTGCCATGCTGCAGCGAGCTGAACAACAACCTCTTTTCAGGCCGCCTTGATTCCTTCCTCACCCCTCTTCTTCCCGTCAAGACCCTCAAAGTCCTGTGAGTTGCACTCGCTCCCACAACCCCAACTACACTGCACCCCCAACCAAACCACACTGCACCCCCAACCCAACCACACTGCACCCCCAACCCAACCACTAGACACGTGCATTGAGTCGAGTTTTGGAACTCAACTCGTTGGGGGGACTCGTCATGGGACGAGTGTTGAGTGCGAGAATCCGCTGGAAAAGCTCAACCGAGCCGTGTCGAGTTTTACCCGTTGAGATTTTTAAATCTCGGTGGAGACGTGGGCTCCGACTGGAGTTTTTTTGAGACCCGTCGGGTTTCTAGGACTCAACGAGTTTAGGAAAAAATTGTCGCGACATTGGGGAAGGGGTCCACTTACTAATCGCGAATATTGCAGTTTGGCCGGTTCATTTGTATCTCGATTTTCATCAAGTCTCTTCCTACGCATATGGTCAATAGTATCCACAACTGATACAGCCAAACGCATGGTTTATTTTATCATCTGAAACTAAAGTTCGGTTTAGGGGCAACCTAGATCTAGGTTTACACTAAGTTAAGGTCGCGATTTTTGGATCTGCATGGTTGAGATGAGGTTTTCTTAATAGAAAACGCAACTATTTATAATCTCCCCCAAACGCTCACCAGGGTGGGGTGCTAGACCTGGCTCTCCTTGCCATATAGCGGCATGCAATCTAAACTGAGCTAATGTAGTTCTTTATTTGCGTGCAACCTTCTGAAGATTAGCTATGTGTAGATTGCGTGCACCAAATGCTCTGTTGTCTTGTATTACGGTCGGGAACGTGTAGCTGTAGATGGCATACATGATTATACAAATTATGCATGGCGTGTTCCCACCTTAACCCCCCCCTGAGTCGAGCTTTACTCGGCTCGACCAAGTGTATAAAACTCGAAGAGTTTTAAGAAAACTTGCCCCATCATAGGCGAGTGTCGAGTCGGCACCTAGCCATAAAAGCCTGACCAAGTTTTACTCGACTCGAGCTCTAAATCTCGGTTGAGTCTACACCAAACCGAGACGAGTAAATCTCCACGCGGTCTGATGGACATGTCTACGGACCACACTGCACCCGCAACCCAATCACACTGCGTAATAAACAATGATTCGGCGGTGCCATTGCACCTGCCTGGATAGTCTTGCCTGTCTTGCCAGCCATGCCTCTCTTGCCTGGCTTTGACCTCTTCTCCATGACAAGCATGCAAGACAGATCGTACAACGCAGGCCAGGCCCTATAGGGCACGCAATATCATATACTGCATACTGTGATATTCAGCACCCTCTCTCCCTATTGCTGCCTTCATCCCCTTTTCCAGCCACGTCCACAACAACTACCTGTCCGGCGCCGTGCCACCATCACTCACTGCTTTCTCCGCCCTCTCTGAACTGTTAGCTCTCTCCCCTTGCCCTTTTCCATGCTCCTTGCATATCAAAACTCAATTGTTTCCAGTCTCTTTTGTTTCGGCATATCGTCATATGCTCACATCATCACCATGTGGACCTCTGTCCCCCATGCCCTTCTTCTTTGCAGGAAGATCCAGGGCAACTACCTGACGGGCAGCATGCCGGCAGCGCTGCCGGCGTCCCTCAAGTACCTGGACGCATCAGGGAACTACCTGGTGGGAACGTTCCCCACCACCACCACCACCTACTGCAGCTGCGCCAGCAACTGCTTCAAGGACAGCACCAAGTGCACCAGCGGCAGCACGCAGCGAGCAGCAGCAGCATGTGCCATCTGCGGCAGCACCAACGGCACCGGGGTGCTCTGTGATGGCGGCACGTGTGCTCCCAGTTCGACGGCTCTGATCGCAGCAAAGACTGTGAATACGGGGACGGCTGAGATGTACTGCGCGGGTGCTCCCATGGATGCTACTATGGGTGAGTGCTGCAAGCAGTGATGCCAGGCATCCATGAGCGGTGCGTGTGCGTGTGTGTGTGTGTGTGTGTGTGTGTGTGTGTGTGTGTGTGTATGTGTGTGGGTGTGTTAAGCGGACATGTGGGAATATGATTGCCGAATGGGGCCGAGGAGCCTTGCATGAGTTCCTGCTCCGTTCCGTACAACCAGAGTATTGTGTATGATCTCAAATCAAACCCTATCAGATTATGTCAGACCCTTGAAAACGTTCCTCAGTGCATTCCATCAAACTAGTCCGCATTGCTCTGCCTGATAAGAATGGAAACGACTTACCCAACCTGGCCCCCACTCCCCTCCCCCTTCCCCTCTACCCCCTAGCTGCGGCGCTGCTGAGTGTGAAGGCATCGCTGGGAGTGTCGTTCACCAGCTGGGCGGTGAGCTCGCCGTGTGCCGTGGAGGGAGTGGCAGCACCGCCAGGCGCGTGGTCCAACGTCCTCTGCAACTCCGCCTTCAAACCCGTCTCCCTGTCAGTCACCCGGTCTTCACGCCGTCTTACCCATGCTGCTGGCCCGCCGCTGCTGCTTCTGCTGCGGCTGCTAAGGCTGATCTGAGAGTTCCAATTAGCAGTTTGAAGTACATGAAAGTTTACCTCCCTGTCAGCACCACGTCTCTTTGGACGTCCTTGCTCCAACTAACAAGTTTTGGTTTTTTTTTTGTTGTGTCTGGCTGTTTGTGGCTGTGTCTCGTTGTGTCTGGCTGAGTTTGGCTGTGCTTGGCTGTGTTTTTCTGTGCTTGGCTGTGTGTGGCTGTTGTTTGGATGAGCAGCAAGCTGTCGGGGCAGAAGCTGGCAGGAAAGATGCACTCAGACATCTCCAAGCTCTCCACCCTCACCTCCGTGTAAGTCTGTTCTTCAGCCGCCTCAAAGGTCCCCTCGACGAGCCTCCCTCGCTGCCATGTGTTAGTGTCCCCGTTCGTGCCTTCCACGCTTCATGGAATTTTTGTATCGTCGTATCGTCCAGCTTCGTCAACCTCCTTCCCAACCAACTCCCACATTCACATATGAAACGCATTCGCTGTATCCTCTATGACACCATTTAATCTATGCACTCACCGCCGTTGTTTGCTCATCTACTCATTTCAAAGCGACCCGTGTTGTTGTTTCTCCTCACTGTCTCTCACCCGCTTATGGCTCTAGCGTGCCGTCTCTGATTCTCCTCTTGCTCGCTTATCAACTTCGTTCAACTCGACCCGTGGTGCTGACTCAAAACCTTCTTGCACACCCCTCACCTCTATTCCCCCTCTTTAACCGAGTACGTATACCCCCTCCCTACCTCCCCATGTACCCCTTACAGTGATTTCAGCAGCAACCTATTGCAGGGGCGTCTAGATGCATTCACAACCGACTTCAAGGCGCTCACCTCGCTCAAGCAAGTGTGAGTGCAGAGAGCAGAGCAGAGCAGAGGAGAGTAGTGCAGAGCAGAAGGTGTAAACATGCATAGCATAGCAGCGTAGCTGTGAGCTAGCAGTGCAGAGCACATAAGCTGAAACAAAAGTGTTAGGATTCAAGAATGTATTGAGTAATGAGCCAACAAGGCTCTATAATACAAGCATGCAGGAAAGAGAAGAGTGGAGGAGGAGCTAACCCTATTGGCCACTAAGTTGGCCAATGGGTGAGGTGCCTTGTGGAGTAAGAAACCTCACAATGTAGCTAGGTTGGGATTGGTTGGCCTAAGGACCAGAAGTTGGCAAGTGCCAACCAAGGACCATGACCAAATCCAATCTTGACCAACCACAAAGTGCAGTTGGAGTGTACACCGAACCCCACAAGAACATAAAGGACCACACCTATTCTAGCCTATGTATGTTGTGTATAATATACATTTACAACAAGAAGCAGTCACTTGAGAGGAGGCAGACTGCCACAACTCTCTCTGCCAACCATGGCATGGATACCCTTCTCGTTCCTCTTTATCAAATCTCCCCAGCTTCTCTTCTCACCCACCCATTGCCACCCCTCTCTGCTTTCCCCCATTCTCCTTCCACTCCCCTCCTATCCTATCCCCTCCACTCCTCAGAACTCCCGACATCTCCTCCTGTGACATAATTGCCTTTTCCTCTCTTTTCCACCCACTCACCTCCCTCTCAACCCTCTCGCCGCTCTCTCGCCCATGGCAGCAACTTCAACTTCAACTGGTTCGCTGGGTCCATCCCCTCGGCCCTTGTGGGCATTGCCTCCCTCACATCATTGTGAGACCTCCTTGCTCCATTTCCTTCGCTCCTGCTGCCCCATTGTCTTCTCTCCTGCTGCATCACTGCATCTGCCCCACCTCACCTTTAACCTCACACTCACTCTCCCACTCGTTCCCCCCATCCGCACGCCTCACCCTTCCCCCATCAGCGGTGCGAGCTACAACTACCTGTACGGCCCCGTGCCCAAGTTCGGCACGGCTCTCAAGACCATCGACGTGCAGAAGAACTGGCTGTCCGGCACATTCCCCGGCACTGGCTTCCTCTCCTGCTCTGCCTCCTCCAACTGCCTCGCCAGCACAGGCGCATGCAACACCACAGGCACCACGCAGCGCCCATTGGCTTCTTGCTCCGTCTGTGACTCTCCCAAGGGCACCGATCCCATCTGTGCCGGCGGCACCTGTGCTCCCAACACTGCCGGCCCTCTTGCCTCCTCCACCACCCCCACCGCCTCTTCTCCCATTCTCCCGCGCTTCTGCGTTGGTGTGCCTTTGAACGCAGCACAGGCCACCATTCTCCTCTCTGTGAAGACGGCTCTCGGGGTCACCTTCACCCAGTGGTCTGCCAGTACCCTTGCAGCCCCCAAAGCCAAGACCCTTGTTCGCGAATTCAGGAACGGGCTCAAGGCGATGGGGCGGCGGCGCTTGGCAGAGAGTGAAGGGAGCAGGGAGAGGGTGCTGCTTGTGGCTCCCCCTTCAGGGCAGGCGGGCCTGTGCACGATTCAAGGCCAGACGCCCGTGCCTGGCTCCTGGCCGGGCGTGTTCTGCTCTTCTGCCGGCATTGTCGTCGCCCTGTGAGTGCTGTGCTGCTGCCCTAATCTCTCCAGATTTACCCCTGCCTTGCTCATGTGCTGCCTTCCTCCATGGTCGTTGGCCTGTGTGTGCTGCTGCTCCTCTCCTTGCGCTGCTACGCCCTCCCCGCAAACCCAGGCCCCCAGAAAAAATTGCTGTGCTGTTTCCTCTTGCCTTTTGTGTATGAACCCACTACACTAGCCAACCCCTGTCCACATGCCTGACTTGGAACCACCACTCTGTCTTGTCCTGCTGCTCCCTCTTCCCCTGCTGCTCCCTCTTCTCCCCTCTGTGTGGATGGCAGGGATCTTCGGGGTTTCCTGCTGCGAGGCACCGTGCACGCAGACATCTCCAAGCTCACCACACTCACTGCGCTGTAAGGCCTTGGGTTGCCTTTATACTTGACTCGAGCATTCACCTTCTGAGCTGATTAGAATGACACCGTGGGCACAGGCATTTCTAGACTCACCATACTCACCGCACTGTAAGGCCTTAGGGTTCGTATTTCAAGCTAAGGATATTAGGGGTTGATGTTTCAAGTATGTTCAGTGGGGTGTGGCACAGGTGACAGAACAGGATTCTCTCTGTTCGGAGAGAAATTGTGTTTTTTCGCAACCTGCACTGCAGTCATCTCACTCGTATTCGGTCTCACAGTCCCAACCCAAATGCCTTCCTGCTTATACAGCATGCACATTCTTTTGAGCATTCAACCGATATCCCTCCACCCCACATTCTTCACCAATGGTTCTCGTTTTCGCCGTGACTCCCCCCCCCGTGTGTTCCCCCAATCAACAGCTACCTGTCATCCAACCTCTTCTACCAGCGCCTCGACTCGTTTGCGGCTCCTATCCTGCCCACGGCCTCTCTTAAGGAGTTGTGAGTGCACCTCATGCCCACGACCTCTCGCATACAGCCAAGCTTATCGGGCCGTTCAGTACTCTTCTCTCCGGTACTAAGTGCTGCTGATGTGACCTGGACAGTCCTGTGTAGGATCATTGCTGCATGCAGGGTCGAAGCTTGCTGCACAGCCAGCCCCCACATGTATTGGACCGCCCCACCTGTTGAAGGACATAGAACCGTCTCAGAACCTGTTGTTCTTGTGTGCATGTGTGTGTGTGTGCGCGTGTGTGCATCGTATGTGTGCACATGTGCATGAATGCATCACGCATGCGACTCTGCATGTGTGCATGCCTATATGTGTCCCACCAGGGCGGTGAGCTTCAACTGGCTCTACGGCTCTGTGCCATCCAAGCTCGTAGCCATGGCCGCCCTCTCCAATCTGTAACAACCCGCGCCTAAACCCCCTGCCTCCTGCCATATTTACAAGAGATGTTTGACAACTCTAACAGGATAACGTGAATATCCCGCATGACCACACTCTCGAAAACCTGTAACGAACACCGTAACCCTTTTCACATCACCATCCACCTCTACTCTCCCTTAATTTACCATTCCTTTCCATCCCTCCGTACTCCCATTCCCCCTTTGTTCCCACTCCTTTCTCATCCTCCCCTTTTCATTCTCCCCCTCTCTCCCCTCTCTTCCCACTTTTCCTTCTCTTCCTCCTCTTCCCTCTCAAACCCCCTCCATCCCAACCACCAGTCGCTTCAGCTACAACTATCTGACAGGCTCGCTGCCCAAGCCCGGTGCCGCCCTAAAGGTTATCGACACGCAGGCCAACTTCCTCTCGGGCACTTTCCCCACGGCCACACTAGCCTGCAACACTCGCCTCAACTGCTTCTCCAACGCCTCAGGCTGCTTCAACCTGGATGGGACGGAGCAGAGGGGAGCAGCAGAGTGCAGCATGTGTGGATCACCGACCAAGACGCAGGGGCTGTGCGGAGGAGGCACCTGCTTGCCCATCGTCTCTCCTTCCCTCGCTAAAGTTCCCAACAGTGCTGCTGCTCCCACACTCATGATGGCATGTGCTGCCGTGCCCCTTGATGCAACCTCCGGTGTGCTTCTTCCCTCCTTCCCTCCTGCCACATGTGTGTCCATAGACCTTGTCTTTCCAAACCCCTCTGGCTTGCCTTCACATGCACTGCCTGCCATGATCCTTGACTTCACCTCACGTGATATTCTTCTCTTTTTAACACCATATGTGGATCCCTTTCCTCCATGCCTCTGTGCATGCTTCCTTTTCTTTTGAAGTGCCACAAACAACACCATTGCAACATGACACCACCAACCACCCTCCCTTGCTGGAAGCCCATGCACCACGATGCAGGCCTGCATGCACCCACTCAGCATTGTCTTCCCCTCTCCCCCCCTCCCCCCCCTCACGTGCCCACCCATGGCAGTGGCGGCACTATTGAGCTTAGGGGCGGCTCTGGGGGTCAGAGACACGGACTGGCGCAACGGCAGCAAGTGCAACATTGAGGGGCAGAGCGCCAACTCCAAGACGTGGCCGGGCGTGTGGTGCAGCGCCAACGGCACCGTCCTCTCCATGTGAGGCTCCCCGGCACCGTCTTCTAACAATGGCCCTGCATTGAGTGTGTGCATTGTCCTGCTATTCCCACCCCTCCTGCTAACCCCATGCCTCCTGCTATCCACATGCGTCCTGCTATCCACATGCCACCTGCTATCCCATGGCAGCACGTTGCCCAAAAAGGCACTGAAGGGAATCATCCATGCCGACATCTCCAAGCTCACTGCGCTCTCCTACCTGTACGTCCCAACCCTCAACCTCAACCATCTGGAACATGGGATTTTCAATTATGTTATCCCTTTCACAAGATTGTTATGGCCCTCTTGAAGTCTTCACACCTGAATCCAACCAACACTTACCTTCCCAGCCTCAGTCCCAACCGTGCTCTTTGGTGCTCCTCCTCTCCGACTTGATCTCGCAGCGATCTGTCCTACAATCTCTTCTTTGGACAGCTCTCCAAGTTCGTTCCCAACTTGCTGCCGCTCACCACCATGGCTACTCTGTAAGTTGACCTTTGACAACTACCAGAAGTCTCACCATCATGGCCTCTCTGAGAGTGTCAGAGTACTAGAGAACCAGCACACAACGTTGCTTCCACATGAGGGACAGCGACCTGTCCCCCCTCAATCTTGAATCATCCAGCACATGTTCGACCCCGCGTTCCTTTTGCACAATAGATCGGCACATCACCTACCGTTGAATCACCTGCTGGCAGAGAAGAGGGAGCATGTGCTGAGATGACCCACCACAGCGCATCATGGGTACTTACCACTCTCTTCCCCGTGTGCTTAATATTTTTTTCCAGGAACCTCAGCTCCAACTACCTCTTTGACAGCATTCCATCAACTCTGGTCAACATGCCTAAACTCACAGAACTGTGCCCGCTATGCCCATCCCCAGACGAATGCTTATGAGGTGCCCGCGCTCATGCCCATGCCTGTGCTATGCCCACGTCACACTCATCCCGTGCCCATGCCCGTGCCCATGCCCATGCCCATCATTGCCTCGCCTCCCTCCTTAACCTCTCTCCCCCCTCCTCCCTCCCCCCCCCCCCCCCTCCTCCCCACCCCCTTCTTCCCCACAGCCGGCTGGGAGCGAACTACCTGACGGGCACGCTGCCAGCCATGGCCTCGCAGCTGCAGGTGCTGGCCATCGCCAGCAACCTCCTGGCGGGCGCCTTCCCCACGCAGCCCTTCCAGCTGTGCGACATCCGCAGCAACTGCCTCTCCTCGCCGGGCTCCTGCACCAACGATGCCGGTGTGGCTCAGCGCACCTCCGGCTGTGCCTTCTGTGGTTCCGCCACGGGCGCCCCGCCTTTCTGTGCGGGCACCGCCTGCACTCCCGATGTCGCTGCTCGCCTTGCTGCCGGCACCACCAACACCCCTGCTGCCGCCCTCCCAGCCATGTTCTGCCAGGCAGTTCCAGTGGATGACAACTCCGGTGAGTGGAACGCCATGAGATGCCACAATCTTCGTAGCGCCTAAAAAATTGAGGACAATATAGTGGGTGATAACTGGTGAGTGCCATTGATTCGAAAGTTCCATTTTCTGCTGCTGCATCAGCAGCAGCATAAGCATGGAGGGATTGATATGACTTGCCTTCTCCTCGTTGCTTGACAGCTTTAAATCGTGCTGAGTGTCTGCTTCTCACTCACACCTCAATCAGTGCTCAACCCAACCAACCCTCTTGTGCCTATCCTCAAGATCTATGTTCTATCCACCCACGCCCTGTGTCTGCCTCACTTTACCCTCACTCTCTCCCTCGCCTCTACCATCCACCCTTCTGCTCCTTCCCATCCCACCTTCCACTCTTTGCACTGATCCACCCTCTCTTTCCCCTCCTGCTCCTCCCCCTTGTCCTGATTTTCTCCTCCCGCTTGTCTCCTCCCCCTTGTGCTCCTCCCCCCTGGCCCCTCCCCCCTGCTCCCCCCAGCGCTGGCGCTGCTGGCACTGAGGGCGGGGCTGGGCGTGAGTGCTCTCAGCTGGGCGGTGGACTCGCCCTGCACGCTGGCGGGCAACGCCCCCGCGGTGGACAGCTGGACGGGCGTCGTCTGCGACCTCTCGGGCCAAGTCCTTAGCCTGTGCGTGTGTGGTTGTGCTATGTGTGTGCACCGTGTGTGGTATGTGTGTGCTATGTGCGTGCTATATGTGTGCTATATGCGTGCTGTGTGTGTCCTATGCACATGTGCTATGTGCGTGCTATGCGCATGTGCTATGTGTGTACCATGCGCATGTGCTATGTGGATACTAAATGTTTGTTGTGTGTGTGTTATGTCTGAAGACATGCTAACTCGCCTCACAGGGTGCAGATCTGGCTGTGCGTGCGTCCCTTGTATGCGTTTTCTCTGCACTATGAGAGGGTTGCCTTGATACAAACGCACATATGTGCATGTGACATGAGGGCTACACTGAGGCTGAGGCTGGCACATATCTAGTGGCATGGTTTATAAGTCGCCTCAAGAATCGCCTGAGGCTGGCAACCCTTTGGAGCATACGCAGTGAGCAGCGTATGCCTCCTCCACTTGGCATGTCACCATCGCATTGCTGCCACCATGAGGAGGTATCGCCTCCTCCTTCTGTGCTCCATATCTCATCACCGCACGCTGCCTTCTTCGGTGCACCCATGTGCCTCTTGCTCAATGCTCCTATTTCCTTCTGTTTGCTGACGTCGCAACAGGGATCTTTCCAAGATGAATCTTCGTGGCAGCTTGCATGCCGACATCTCCAAGCTCACTGCGCTCACCAGCCTGTAAGTGCTGCTGCTTTCACCAACACATAGCCCCGCATCCATCCATCCTCGCTTACCTCGCGCCCACTTTCCACCATACCTATTCATACGTATTCTGCTTCTATTCCATGCCCCTTAAACCTCACAACCTGTGAGTGCCGCTGCTCACCAACCTGCTTTCACCAACGCATGGCTCCGCATCCATCCATCTTCCCTTACCTCGCTCCGCATTTTCACCATACCCAATTAAACGTATTCTGATTCTATGCCATGCCCCTTAAACATCACGACCTTGCAAGCTTGCATTTTGCAACTCCCCATCCGCTTCCCCACACTCCCCTCTGCTCCCTTTCCTGGTGCCCCTGTGCCCTTTTGCCCCTGTGCCCCTGTGCCCCCGTGCTCGCAGCAACGTGGCGTCCAACCTCTTGGATGCGCGCATGAGCGAGTGGGCTCTGCCTCTCACCGGCCTCAAGGCACTCAAGCAACTGTCAGTCCTCCGGCCTGCACAACCTGCCGCTGCAACATTGCATACCAAACCGCTTGCACATCTGGTTGCGTACCACTGTTCTCGTGATTTCTCGCGTCCCACTTTTCTCGTGTGTGACTGCTTTCTCTCCGCCTCTACCCTCCAGGTCTCTCAACTACAACTGGTTCTCCGGCCCTCTGCCCTCGTTCCTCCTTAGCATGTCCACACTCTCAGCCCTGTAAGCACCTCCCTAGCAGAACCAAATGTTTACACACACACACACACACACACACACACACACACACTCACACACACATGCACACACACATGTATACACACACGCATACTTTCACGCGCACGCACACACACATGCACACACATACACACACACGCACGCACGCACGCTCACACACATACACACACACGCACGCACGCACGCTCACACACATACACACATAAACTCTCTCACCCACTCAGCTAGGCACATCTCGTTTCCATTGGCCTTCCAAAAGTGCCCATCCACTGTTCATCTTGTCACTCCATCGCCACTCATAGCACCAGTCATAGCGTCCTCCCTCCACTCCACTGCTTTACTCATGCCTTTCCTTACTCCCCCACTTCCTTTCCTCCAACTTCCTCCGTCCCCGCCCTCTTCTCCCCGGCCTCCACCTTTCACCAGCAACGTGCAATTCAACTACCTCGCTGGTCCCATCACCGGCACTCCCTCTGCCTCCCTCAAGACCCTCAATGTCGCCTCCAACCTCCTCAGAGGAACCTTCCCAGCATCTTCCACCACCGCATGTGATGCTCGAAGCAACTGCCTAGCAGACTCCTCCAAGTGCCTTGCCTCTGGCTCCTACTCCCAGAGGCTCTCCTCTGACTGCACCCTGTGCGGTGCTGGGAGTTCCAGTGCGGTGATATGCAATGGAGGGGTGTGCACCCCTGACACTACTGGGCCAGTGGCAGCACTCACACCTAATAGTGCCTCAGATGCTCTGCTGCCCATGCAGTGCTCGGGTGTTCGCATTGACGCCACAGCAGGTGCGTGCCCAGTTTCAATTTATACTTGTCACAGTCGAAATCTGAATTTCTAAACTCTCCACTATGCTTGTGTGTCCTGCTTGTCCTTTTCAAGCCATCTGATTCCTGTCCCTTCCCCTCCATCCCTCAACATCTCCCCTTTCTCCACCCCTTCTCCCCTCCCCTTCCCCCACCCCCACCCCCCAGTATCGGTGCTTGGGAGTCTCAAGGCGGCGCTGGGAGTGCCTTTCAGTGACTGGGGAGGGAACTCGCTATGCACGGTGGTCATTGTTGTTTCCGGAGTCAGCAGCTCCTCCCCTGGCCCGAGGGACTTGGGAGACGTGCTGTGCAGCCCGGCCGGTGCTGTGGTGGAGATCAACCTCAACACGCGCCAGCTGGCTGGGTCCATGCATGCAGATATCTCCAAGCTCACTGCGCTCACTGCTCTGTAAGCCCACTGCTCTGTAAGCCCTCTGCTCTGCAGGCCCACTGCTCTGCAAGCCCACTGTTCTGAAATGACCCTCTTCCTCTGCCAAACCCTGCACCTCTCCTCCTTCCTGTCTACCCGCTTGCCTACCTTTTCACTTCCTACGTTCCCCCTTCCTGCCTTTTCCCCCTTCCTGCGTTCCCCATTTCTTGCCTTCACCCGTCCTGCCCTCCCCCTAACTCATGTCCCTCTGCCTTCCCCCCAGGGTCTTCCACTCAAACTTATTGGCTGGTCGCCTGGATGCCTTCACAGCGCCCTTCACCTCCCTCACCAAGCTCGAGAACCTGTATGCCTCTCTCTCAAGCACTCCATTCGTTTCTATTCATGCTCCTCCCGAATGGCCTTTCCTTTCAATTAAGGTGCGGTGGGTACAAGAGAAAGGTAAAGGGGTATGGCACAATCCTAGTCACAGAGCTCGTAGGGGCTGGGAGATCTTTACCTACGCTAATGTTATATGAGCCCCCCGAGTTTGTAAATGTCATTGTTGAGCGAGTGCAATCTTGGTCCCCTGCTCTCTCCCCTCTTGCGTTCATATGCGGTGAGTGCCCCTCTTTCTCCTTCCGTGCGTACCTGAAGCACCTCACACCTCAGCAGCATTCACAGGTCACTCCATATGGGCCTATGGCACCTATAAGGAATCTCGAATGCAATACCTGAGTCTATCCTCCTCACCCTTTCCCTCGATTCCTTGCCATCCACCCCTTCCCCCCATCCTCTTCCGTGTATGCCGTGCAGCCAACTGCACTACAACTACCTGTTTGGGCCCATCCCCTCGGCTCTTATTGGTCTCAAGACCCTCTCCAAGCTGTAAGATTACCACCTTTACGTCCTTGTGTGCCAGGCCATGCCAGCCCCATTCCATGTCATACCCTGTCGTTGGCCATCATGCCATGTGTTCACATGCCACTTCAGCTACTTCCTTTGCGCTCCTTCCTCCGCCTCACACGAAGGAGTACATGCCTCCGTGTGTGCTTCTGTCTCTGCCCTGTACGTCTGCTGTGTTAACTTGAGAATGTGAAGCATCTATATAGCCAAAACTACTTGCCCTGCAAGTTTGCTGTCATCTATCTACCAAACTCATTCCAAGCCCCCGCTCCCCACCACATGCGTCATCCCACAGGAGTCTGGGCTCCAACTACCTCACTGGGAGCGTGCCGGTGCCAAGCACCACCATCAAGCACCTGGACCTCGAAAACAACTATCTCGTGGGAACCTTCCCATCTGCTTCCTGGCTGTCCTGCTCGGCACGCACCAACTGTTTCTCGAGTGCTGCTGCTTGCACGGCGGACGGAGGCAAAGGGACTGTTCAGAGAGCCACGTGCAGTATCTGTGGCAGTGCCGATGGCACGGGGGTGTTGTGTGGCGGCGGTGGTTCGTCCACCTGCCAGCCCACAGCTGCTTCCCTCGCATCCCTCTCCACGCTCAACGGCCCCTCTGTCCCTGCACTCCCTCTGTCATGTTCCTTGCTGCCGGCTGTACCCGTCAACTCTATTGCCGGTAAGTCATCCCGGGCAAACAGGTATAGGCATTGCATTGAAAGCCTGGCCACGAGCCTGCATGGGTAGCATTGGGGGATGCCCCCCCTCTCCACATTTTTTATCTCCATGGGAATGAGTAGCATATGAATTCTTGCCTTCTTGACCTGCCTGCCTGCATGTTCGGATCACTGGTTCTTTCCACCTTGACCTCCCTCTCATTCAAAGCCCCTGCTTCAATCCCCACTCTCTTCATCATCCCACCTCTCACGGCCACAGTGGCAGCGCTGCTGAGCATCAAGACAGCCTTGGGAGTGACGCACACAGGGTGGGCGGCGAATGCTGTCTGCACGCTGGCAGGGACAGCTGGCACTGTAGCGAGTGGGAGCTTGACGGGTGTGGAGTGTGACTCAGCTGGCAACCCCGTCAAGATGTGAGCACTTGATTGCTTTCACCTTGGATAGAAACCTCATTGCCCGGGAGAGCTCATTCGAAATAAGGTCTAGAGGTTGGTAGCTCAACTAGTGGTTTGTGTTTAGAATTCTCTAAACCTGGCAACTCTGTGAAGGAAGTAAGGTGCAAATATTAAAGTGAGAAGTATGAAGACAAATTGAGTATAAAGCCCACAATGCGTGTCCCCCTATCTCTTCGTCCCTCTGCATCACCTTCCCCTACCCTCGACTCGTTTTGTTTATGTTTCCCCTTTGATTCCTTCATCTGTTCTTAAATTCCCAAATGCTATATTCTCTTTTGCCTATTTCCTCGTCCCCCCTAATTCGTTTCCTGCTGTTTCCACCCCTGGTTTTCTCCCACTTGATCCTCCCCACTGGACTCTTCCTTACCTCCGCTTTTATTGCCTGCCCACCTGTACCAGCACTCTCAATAACCAGCAGCTGTTCGGAGTGCTCCCTGCCGATGTCACAAAACTCACAGCGCTTACTTACCTGTGAGTGCACACATGCACATGCGCTTGTGAGCAACATTTCGTGTATGCAAGCACCAAAATACACGTAAGCTCTCACATTTATGTCGGCATGACGTTTGTCGATTACACAAACAAAGCTACCAACTTGTATGCTTGCAGTAGCTAGCGTCGCGACTTTAGGAGCAGCCATGCTTATGACTGTCAATGCACCCGATCTACCGGCCTGCACCTATGCGTCTAGTCTGAGATCCCAACCTCTTGCATCTAATCGTTCCCTTCTCTTCATTCATCTGTTAAAATTCTACATCAAGGCTCAGAATTGCAACCTTAATATTTTTCCAATTCTATCCTCGCTCCCTTTATTCCATCCTCCCTCCCTCCGCTATCTTCCCACCGCTGTGCGCACCGGGGTCGCAGCAACCTGCAGTCCAACCTGTTCAGGGCACGCCTTGAAGATTTTGCGCTGAGGCTTCCCACCCTCACCAACCTGGCAGTGCTGTGAGTCCCCCACCAACCTGGCAGTGCTGTGAGTCCCCCACCAACCTGGCAGTGCTGTGAGTCCCTCACCAACCTGGCAGTGCTGTGAGTCCCCCACCAACCTGGCAGTGCTGTGAGTCCCCCACCAACCTGGCAGTGCTGTGAGTCCCTCACCAACCTGGCAGTGCTGTGAGTCCCTCACCAACCTGGCCGTGCTGTGAGTCCCTCACCAACCTGGCAGTGCTGTGAGTCCCTCACCAACCTGGCAGTGCTGTGAGTCCCTCACCAACCTGGCAGTGCTGTGAGTCCCCCACCAACCTGGCAGTGCTGTGAGTCCCTCACCAACCTGGCAGTGCTGTGAGTCCCTCACCAACCTGGCAGTGCTGTGAGTCCCCCACCAACCTGGCAGTGCTGTGAGTCCCTCACCAACCTGGCAGTGCTGTGAGTCCCTTACCAACCTGGCAGTGCTGTGAGTCCCTCACCAACCTGGCAGTGCTGTGAGTCCCTCACCAACCTGGCAGTGCAAGAGAATTCTCTTACTCGTCAATTGTTGCTCACGCACTAGTGCCTCGTTGACCTGGCTCTTCTTCCACCCGGCGCCGACCAGCACGTCGTTGAGCGCCAAGTACCACAACAGCGGCGACTGCTTCAGGCCGTACAGGCTCTTCAGTAGCTTGCAGACCCGGCCGGTTCCGTCGTTGAAGTAGTCCGGCTGGGACATGTAGAGCACCCGGTCGAGCTTGCTCTGCAGGAAGGCGTTCTTCATGTCGAGCTGCATCAGGTTGAGGTTGAGGACGGCGACGATGCTGAGGAAGATCCTCAGGGTGACGTAGCTGCCCACCGGCGCGAACGTCTCATCGTAGTCGGCACCATACACCTGGGTGAAGCCCTTCATGACCAGCCTCGCCTTCTCGCGCTCGACAGTGTCGTCGACGTGGTACTTCGTCGTCAACACCCACCGGTTCTTCATGATGTTCACTCCCGGCGGGCGTTCGACCAGCTCCCAATGTTGATGAGGCTGCGAATCTCCTCCTCCATGGCGGCCTTCACCGCCGGGCCCTTCCAGCTTGCCAAAGCCTCCTTCACCGTCATCGTCGAGATGTCCCAACGGTGCTCGGGGTCGGCCAGCATGTCCGGGTCGAGCTCCGGAAACTCCTCATCCTCCTCGGCGTCGTCGTACAGCAGGTCTTCGTCGTCGTCCACGTCGTACACCGTGGTGAAGGCAGCGGGGACGAAGAAGTCTGGCGGCCTCCGAAGTCTATCTGACTTCCGGGGTTCAGGCCGAACCTCCACCACATCACTCTTGGTGGACTCCCCGGCGTCCTCACTGCCCTCGTCGTCCAGCTGCACCTCGGTCGACTTCCTGGTCGACCTCTCCCTTGTGGTCAACTTCCCTGTCGACTGCATGGTTGCCGACTGCTCCGTGGTCGGCTTCACTGCTGCCTGCTCCCCTGTCGGCTGCTTCTCCTCGACTTGCTTCTCCCCCATCAACGTCGGCTTTACTCCCACGTCGACTTGCCGCTCGTCACGTCGGCCACCGGCGATGCCCTCGGTCGGCGCCGAAGGCGACGTCCCACTACTCCCCTCATCGCCGGAGGCCGACACCGAGGTCAGCCCGCGCAGGTCGGCCAGGATGGGAGGGGAAGGAGGACGGACGTCCTCGTCGTCCTCAGCAGCAAGCCCACCGACCTCGGCGAGCAGGGGTAGCGTCGCCGTTGAGGTGTCGGTCGGCGGGGTGGTCGGCGTCCGTCCTGACACCGGCCCGTACTGCGACTTCCACACTTCCAGCGAAAGGTCCTCGTAGAACACCACGTCCGACGTGGTGACCACCCGGTTGGCGTCGATGTCGAGGAGCTCCCAGCCCTTGCTCTCCGTCGACACGCCGAGGTGAAGGCCCCACCTGGCCTCGGCTTCAGCTTTCCGCCACGCTGCTGCTCGGGGACCAGGAACTGTGCCATGCAGCCCCACACCCGCGCCAGCGACAAGTCGGGATTCGTCCCGGTGAGCAGCTGGTACGGCGTCGTCCCCGGCGGCAGCGTCGACCTCTCAAGGCAGTTGCGGACCCAGACGGCCTGACGCAGAACGAGGTGCCACCAGTGGTGCTGCACGCCCATGTGCAGCAGCATCGTCCGCACCGACTCCACCACCGTCCTCATCTCCCTCTCCGCCATGCCATTCTGCTGCGGGGTGTACGGGCAGGTAAGGTCGTGGACGATCCCCTTGCCGTCCACGAAGTCGGTGAACTTCTTCCCGAGGAACTCCCCTCCTCGGTCGGAGCGAAGCATCAGCACCGACTTCTTCGTCTGCCTCTCCACCAACACCAGCCACTTCTGGAACTCCAGCAGCACATCCGACTTCTTGGCGACCGGCCTCACCCACACGAAGCGGGACTTGCGGTCCTTCAGCAGCAAGAAGTACAAGCTGCCATCCTTGGCAGCCACGCGGAACGGCCCGCACAGGTCGATGTGCACGACAGCCAGCACCTCGTCGGCGTCGGAGCCTTGGTCGGGGAAGGTGTGCCGTGCCAGCTTCCCGCTGACGCACGAGACACACGGTGAGTCGGCGCCCGTCGCCGACTTGAGGTCCAGCCCAATGGCGACCTCGTTCTTCGCCGAGCTCCTGATGGTGTCCATGCCGACGTGCGCCAGCCTAGCATGCATCCTGTCCGGCGTCGACTTCGTCTTGGAGACAATCGCCCGCAGGGCCACAACCTCCGGCGTGGGCGACGTCGACCTCGTGGAGCAGGGACGCAGGTCGGTGCAGAGGACACGCCCCGAGTACGTCGCCCGACCGAGCACCTCGCCCGCTGCCGAGACGAGGAGCATCCCGTCACCGTCCTCCTGCAGCTTCACACCATGCTCCTTCAGCTGGCCGGACGACAGCAAGTTGGCCCGCACACCCGGGACGTACAGCACGTCGGGGATGAGCACCTGCTTTTCGGCCTCTCCTTGCAGGGCGACGGTGCCACGGCCCTGGACGTCCTGCAGCGCCCCATTGAAGCCGCGCACGTGCTTGATGGAGCCGCTCGGCTGCAGGTCGACGAAGACTTCCTTCGTCCCCATCAGGTGGTGGGAGCAGCCGCTGTCGAGCAGGACCACCGCCGGGTTCGCTTGCACAGCAGCTGCCACCGCTTGGAAGTCCTCTCCCTCCGGCGCCAGCGAGGCGGTCGGCTCCACGACGCCGACTAGCGAGCACGACGCCGTCTTGTCGTCCCGCGCCTTGCCGCCAGCAGAGGAGTCGGCGTCCTTCGCCGAGGTCGACTTGGTCGACTGTATCTCCTTGCGCGGCTTGTTCCCTCCTCGACGAGGTCGACGACTGCCAGACCTCCCGCGGCCTCCATTGGCGTCGTCGTCGTCGGAGTCACTGCGGTCGGGGCACTCGAAGGAGAGGTGGTCGGGGTCGCCGCACAGCCAGCACTCCCGACGTCGATTTTCTCCTCCTCGACCACTATCATTGGTCGACCTCTTCTTGTCGACCTCCTTGGTCGACTTCCAGCCCCTGCCACCTCCGCCGCCAGACTGTCCGCGCTGCCCCAGTCGACCTCCTTGCTTGGCCGGGGCGACGAAGTTGGCCTGCGCCAAGAGCTCCTGTGACCGCTCAGCCTCCTGCATCGCCTCGTCCTGCAGGATGTACGAGGTCAAGTAGTCCTCGTTGAGCGTCGTCCTCGTGCTCGGCGCCATTGACATCCGCTTCAGCAGGTTGTAGCTGCTCGAGAGTCCCTGCATGATGTGGGTGACGTACGACGCCGTCGAGTACTGCGCGCCGGCCATCCTGATGGTGGCGAGAATTCGCCGGGCTCGGTTGCAGTAGTTGGTCGCCGTCTCCTCGTCGCCCATACGCAGGTGCGTCAGCTGCCCCTCCAACTGGGAGATGAACAAGTCGTCGGTGACTTGGTAGGTCGACTCAATGAAGTGCCACGCCTGGTGGCCGGCGTCGAGGTACTCCCGACACCACTTCAGAGCGATCTACACGCCCGGCGAGCAGCACCGCGAGATGACCATGAAGGTCAACAGCTGCACTGCTCGGAACTCCGTA